TGAACTTTTTTCGCTTCCCAACTGTCTCGACCTCCTTCACTTCTTATCCAGCGATGCTAATCCTAATAAGCCAAGTTGGTCTGCCAGCTAACTTGCATTCGCAATCTCTTAACCCTCTTCTGCCCCCAAAGCTGCGCAGAGTCAGCTGCTGGCGACAATATGCATGGCACTTATTGCCACTTCAGTTGGCATACGAACCAGGCTAATAGCAGGGGCCACGCCTCCTTTGCCCCTGCCCCTTGTATACCATTCTCACCTCAGAAAACCGCTCCAGGAACACCTGCAGAGCTTCGAAAAATTTTATTTGCTCAAGCTGAAGCAAAGTTCTGCCCAAGGAGCAACAGAAGATTCCTTGTCGTCCCGGTGACATTTTTTGGTTTTTTATGCAGCACAGAGATCCCTCTCCTTCTCACTGATTTTAGTACACAGTAAAAAAAAGGGTTTCTGTGTACAGAAATTTAAATCCCCCTCTAAAATAAGTACGTGATAGTCTAAAAGAAAGCTTACATGATATAAAATTTTTGGAAATTTGGAAACAAAGGAATGGAAAATATAAGTTACCAATCCACTGCATTGTTTTCCCACTGTGCAATGTTGGCCCCTGGAAATCTCGACTTGTGAACGCAAAAAAGGAGTGTAAAAAAGCCAAGAAGCATAAAAAAAGTAGAAGTAAGCGGGAGTGGGAGCCCAGAAAGTATGGCCATAACTTGGTTGCAAATGTAAGGGAAAGGGGGAAGTGCATCCAAGTCCAAAAATCTCGGCAGGTGTGGCACATATGCACGTGTTGCACCATTGCAGTTCCACAAGCTGTTTCATTGCCTAGTGCAACGGGCATATTAAATTTACCATATTCCTAGGGATGTAGTTGTTGCTGCTTAAGAGCATCATAACCCCAAAGAATCCGCTTGAAATTTATGCACTTGTGGGATTTTTATACTGCACTTTTCCGGACCTCCTTCTGTCTTTCCTCCTTTTTGTTGCCCGCATAAAAATTATGTGGCACCTTGATCTATGAATATGTTTGCCATGCTTTTATTAGATTTATTTTTGCACAGCAGTATAAATTGGAGGGGAGGCCAAAGGATAAACAGATGCAGATGTGGAAAGCGTCTTAGGAGTTAGTGAGTGAGACATAAACATAAAATGGGGATTATTACTATTAGTGCACACGATAACTAAGGAATATGTGGAATACCCTGATATCTAAATCTTATCTTTTATCTAGTATTATTTTGAACGTAAATATGACGTTACTCACGCAAATGGGAGTGGTGCACCATTTCATATGAAAGCTATTTGAGAAGCATTACTGGCTTTATCCTCCCAGTTTGCACATTGGCATCTAGGCTTTAGCCTTCGTAGCTTTATACACATGTTTAATAGCTTGCAGCCTTTCGCAGACGATTGTTCTGCAATTGCTTGACCCAATTCGCACCACAAACAATAAAGTGTATTTAAATTTACATATAAACGTGGTCATACAAGTGTGCGACATATGCAAAAGAATACACAGTTCTGGCGCGTAACTGTTGAAATTTTAAACAAATTTTTGCACAATTCCTGTTTGCCATTGCCTTTATTGTTCTTGTTGCACTTGCAGCTTGACACAGTTTTCAGTCACTCCCATTTATTTACAATGTCAACGAGAAAAAGAGCAGGAGGAAAGTGTGAAAACCCTGGCAGGCTCAGCTTTTGTTGCTCTCCGAAAAGCCTTGTATGAAAGCCCCCAGGCCATGAAATTTGCATGCAATTTTCAGCACAAAGAAAATAGAGAAAAGAGTAAGGTAAAATGGGGTGCAAATAAGCTTAATTGTAGCGAAAGGTTGGGGAGAGCTATCGGTTAACAACTGACCTTGTCGAAGGACCTTGAACTGTCCTAACAAAGGACCCAGACATTCCCAATCCCCGAATTCCCACGCCCATTTGCTGTTCCCCAGTAACCGAGTAATATCTGTGGCTAATTAGTACGCAATTTGGAGAAGGAAGAGTACGGGGTTGTACGGGGAATTAACTACCAATCAAATTTACAGTCCGTACGAAATTGTATTTCAAGTTACAGGGGTCAAACGAAAGCGGAGACTATTTCGTCTGTTAATATGAAAAAGTTTTTAAATACTTAAAAAAAAAATTGTCTTTTTAAGGATTTTTTAATTTAATTTAAGGTATTCCAATTTATTTTTCCAAAATATTCTATTAACATTTGTAAAGATTTTTAAAATACTGTGAATATTTTTTTAAAACATTCTTAAAATATTTCTAATGAAGCTTTCATTTATTTTGACTCTATAAGGACTTTATAAAATATATGAAGAAAACTGCTTTCGACATTATTTTAATTAATTCACAACAGCAATGGTCTACTGTAATTGAAGTTTCTCAGCTGTAAAGTTCCACTGGGTTAGGTACTTTGTGCTTTATTGAATTTTAATTTGCACTTTGTGGTTTGCGGTCAATAGTGGCCACGCCCATATTTTCCCCAGCCACGCCCTTTTGCTTGGACTTCCACTTAAGGCATCGCTTCGCTTTGATTTCTTTTGGGGTTTTCTTTCCGCCTTTCTCGCCCTCTATAGGTTTTCCTGCTGGGCTTCTCGTTTGCCGAAAACCGCAGAGCGTGTGTGAAAATTGAAATGTCACCAGTTCAGTGTCGAGTGTGGAGTTTTCCACCGCCCTTGATACCCAACTGCAATGTCGTGCTTCGCTTTTCTGCTTGTCTGCCGCTGACAGTCATTGACAACTCTGCACTTCCCCGATAAGGGGCGAGCTCGAAGGGAAAATGTTGTGGAAATGGGTTAGGAAAAGTGGAGGGAAAAGGCAGTTAAGAGAGGTGGAGGGGAAGGGGGTAGGGGCACAGCTGCATTGCACGGATGCAATGTTGCATGCCGGTCGCACTAAGTGCTGACTCAACGCAATATAAGTTCTTATTTGCCAACAGACTTCACTTAGAGGATTTGTAATGGGGAATCCCCGATATTTTGTGCTCTACTTTGTTTAATTCGGACTGCTCAGTAAATTCCAAACTCAATTACAGGATTAAGTCATGTAACCAGGAACTTCCTGAAATTATATGCTGAAGAGATTATTTTAATCATTACAGGCATTACTACTATTTATAAATCTATTTGAAGGCATTCCAAATAAATTAAATTATGCTGATGTTGATTTCTATTTAAGATTGATTAACAATAATTTTTAAGTCGTATAATTGGTTAAATAACTTAGACATTTTAACTACCTAGCAAAACTTGTGAAATGCTGGTCTTAATCGAATAGCTTACAGTTTATTATTGAGGACCAAAAACGGGTTGCTACGTTTGCGGACTCTAACCGAGAAAACTGATGTCATTTACATTCGTTATGGCCGAACCACATATTTTGGATTTTTTTAAGTCAGCCACACGCATTAGCCTTCGCTCTTATCCAACTCCCGCTGACTTTCACATTTTGCACTTCTTTTTAGCACAAATCCTTTTTATTTATTTTCTTTGGGAGTTTAAAACGTTTTCGACAGGATTTAGTTGCATGACTTTTTGCTTTTAGCCGGTCAAACCTCAAAGCTCTCCACGACCCCTCCTCCCCGATTTTCTAACTAACTGGACTGTAACTGCCCGGGGGGTGGATATCTGTTTTGCAGCTCCTCGATTCCCAGGACCAAACACGTACCCCCGTGGCCAAACGTGCACGGAATTTCCAAATACAAATACTAAACATGGCCGCATTTTTTAGCCAAACTCCCCAGGCTGCCACCATCCCCCTACGAATTCCGTTTTAGTTTATTTCTTATTGTAGTTCGAAAATTTTTGGATTGGTTACAATTTGTTTTGGCAGTAGATTCCAGCCCAAATGGAAAATATTTTGTTTGAGCTGAAAATTTAAATTGATATTGAAATTATTTGCTGCCGAAAGTTGTGCAACAACATTTTTTGATGGAAAACTATTGGCTTTTAAATATATTTGATAGGTAATAAAATATTTAAGCATTGGATCTCAGCTCGAAATATTTGAACTTCTATTTTTTCTTTGGATTAAAAAAACTTAGATTTTTGGCAAGTTTTCTTCAAATTACATATTTTAGTACTTTACAAAAATTAAAAATTTTTATAGGAATTTCACGCATTTTTTATTGATTTTGTAAAGGGAGTTTGTTGCAAAATATTCTTATACAATGGATTTGCATAAACTTGTTTTTTTTGTTAATTTTCTGATTTAGCTTTCAGCTAAGTTTACTTTAAGCAGCAAAATGTACGCATAAATTACTCCACTTCGTTGACTACCTGTAGGGTCAAAAATTAGCTTGGTGTTAGTAATAAGTTTCCCATCTGGGCGGTGTTCCCTTTTTGGGTTACCAAGACATGTTGACACTTCGCAGGACAGGTTCAAGTAACCCACTTACAGGACAAACGAAAGAGAGGGGGAAAGGGAGTGTGAAAAAGAAGGAACGATTCCTCACCACCGCCATTTGCTCGCCTTTGTTTGCGGTGAAACTTTTGCAGCAGCTTTTGTTAATTCGGTCAATATTTGCGGACGCACGAAATAAAAACGAAAACTCAGCAAAAAAAACTTTTGGCCAAAGTACAAGAGAACAGCGAAAAAAGAAAATAAGAACAGTTCCTATTTAACCCCTTAATGGCAGTTGGGTTAAAGTTCTCCCACTGGATATGTGGTTGTTAAAATAAACTTATTGCCAGTTTGTCAGCCACAAAAAATTCGAAAATATGTATGCCTGGAGCAACAGTTGCATTTGTGTACACCTGGATCATGCATTATTCATGGAAAACGCAAATTCCATTACGCGTATTTCATTAAGGTAACCCCAAAAGCCGAATATTTTTTTTCTTTGCATGTTGCAAGTGCTTTTGAGTCTTTATGCAAATGGTAACTGGTTATAAAATACCGTAAATGGTAAAGAAAAAATGTCCAATTGGTACGGATATATTTCGACGGAATTCCTGAATTCCTTCCCTTTGCCTTTAATTGCGATTCGAGTTGTTTACCCAACTTACCTACTGTTTAGTTTGGCCTCACGCTCCAGTTATCCAGTTCTCCGGTTCTCTTCCCAATTTCTCCTTTCTCTGCCGGGTTAAATCTAAAAGCAACAACAGGGTAAAGTTTTTTTTGGCGTTAGTTAAATTTGTTGAAAATTATTTGCTTTTCTTGTTGTTCATGGAGGGGGAATTCTGGAATGGTCTGGTTTTGCTTTGGTTTTGCTTCCTCGAGAAGTCTTTAGTTAATTAGTTGAATTTGTGTTGAAGAGTTTTTTGTGTGAGCTGGGGAATTTTTCGTAGTTTAATTTAGTGGATGCAAAACTTGTGTCTAGCTGGGGAAACGAAAGCAAACGATGGACGAAGAATTTTAGAGGGAATTCTCCCAAGGAATTGGGGTCCAAAAAGATTTGTTTGGAACTAAGATCAACTTAAAATTAAAGCACGTTTTTGAGAAATGATTTGTCTCGGAATTTTGTTGGGTGTTACTCAGAAACATTTACTAATTACCGTTGCAAAGATTAAAATATAAGCCATTGAATGGAACATACCATTTACAAATACGTTTTCCCATAATTTGTAAATATTTGCAGTTTAACTTATGCATATATTTCTATCCTGTTGGGACATGTTTTTATTGAAAAAAACTTTATTTATTATCTAAGCTTCCATCAGAAATTTGTAGTTATTTTAAGTGGATGCGAGTTCAGAGCGAGATATTTTTATTGAATATAATTTTCCATATTTCCTCAACATTTCTGCCTCAACTTTTGTGGGCAGAAATTTACATAAATCAACTCTCTTAGCCAGCGCTTGCTATCTGTTTACGCTTTCCTTGGCTCTTTTCCTCCGCGTTTGCTGGCTTGTTTTGTTAGCCAATTTTCAATGTTGGCTTCTGGCTTGCTAGCCACAACAAACAACTGACCATAAATAATCAAATCTTATACACAATCTGCAAACAGATTTTGCGTTTCTAATAAATTTCACTTTGCCAGCACACAGCAAAAAATAAAAACCCCAAAAGGATCCAAGAAGTGGGCGAGGCAAACACTTTTTTGCGTCAACAGACAGAAAAAATATGTATAAAAATATATATTTATGCCGGGGTGGCTTATATATGTCAGGCACACACTATAAAAAGTATATATATTTATGTATGTTTATTCATATTTATCTATAGTCTGCTTTGTCCTCGTATTGGAAATAGAGATAGGCCCCAAAAACTATAAAGAAGAGAGAGGGCCACAACAAATTATTGTTCACAGAGTTTTCTAAACGTTTTTCTTTTATTCTTAGTTATCTCCTAATATTTATCTGCCCCGTGCTATGTCCTTTATTTCAAGGACACATTTATTCGGTGTGAAAATGTGGTTAGAAGTCAATAACATAATAAAAACTTTGACATTGAAGGTCGTGAGGCATGGCTGCGATAGACACATGAAACCGCAAGGCGTGAAGGTCCGGGAAAAATTATGAAAATTGTTTGGACTGACGCTCTTGAGAGCCAAAGGAAAAACCCATCCGAAATTGAGGTTAAGGGAGTTTCTGTTGGCGAACAAACTTTCATTGCATAACAATAGGCGCAATGGCGAACCGCAAGCCGCATTTAAATATAAATACCTGCAGCCAGAGCCGCAGGCCAGAACAAAAAACAGAAACCCAAAATAAAACAACAGCAAAAAAAAAACGGGAGAACAAGTGAAAAGTTTTCTGCGTTTTCTGGCCATGTAATGAAAGTCCAAGCATTTTCCATCCCGTTTTCCTGGAAAAGTGGCTCGTGGTCGCTGGCACGTGAAAGAAAAAGTGCAGGTGGCTTTCGTTCCCGCTCCCCACACCCCTCCGTCTACACCCACAGCAGAATAAATAAACTTCAACTTTTTGCTGGCCACAATTTTGGTTTCTGCTTCTTTTTCCTTTGAAAGAAGAGAAATATCTAAAATTGCGGCAGTGCGAAAGCGTAAAACAACAGTAACAAATGGCACAGAAATAGGCTAAAGCGAAATAAGCCACAGAAATGAAAATAAGAGCTGAACATTTTCGCTTTTTCTTCCTTATTTCAAATGTATGTATAAATTTATATTATTTTCAGGAGTCAAGTAGGTGGAAAAATGCTGTTAAGCTTTAAAAATGTTGACGGCCTCAAGATGCGAGAGTAATTGAGAACAAATAAATACAAGTGGCCTGTGGAAGAAGGAAAAGTCGAGGAAAAATTGGCAAAATAAAGATAAAAGCAAACAGGCATAGCTGAATAATACGGGGAAATCAAACGAAATATGAGAGCATGAGTAATGAAATGAACGCATTAAAGAAAGAAATTCTTTTAAAGAAGAAAAGAAATAAATCAATGATATTTCACAACAAAACTTTTATTTCAATCATACACTTGGAGAAAAAAAATATCATCGTATTTATTGAACAATGAAATATCCCCAATTTATTTTTAAGGCGGTTTTAAGTTTTACTAGCTTTATTTATTTATAAAGTTAGCAAACCTTTTAATAAATTTGTTTATTTATTTATTTTGTTTTACCGAATTATTATAATTAAAATATTTTCTTAGACAATAAATTTAAAAGACAACATAAATTTTCTTTATAATTTCTTATCTATTAGAAGATCAAGTCATCTGAGAATCGACAAAGTTATTAGTCTTGCTTGATAACTTATTCAGTACAAATTAAAGTTTTATTTTTCCGCTAAGGGGAAATTTTAGAAGAAGTTGTCTACTAGCTGGGCCACTTGACTCCCCTTCGTTGTCAGATACTTTTTTAAGTTTTTCTTCAATCAAATTAAGTGGAGCAACTTCTGAGAGCCACAGATTTATTTGCATGTTTGCTTTTCGCCAGTTTATCCGTTTTCCCATTTTCCATTTCCATCCTGAAGCTACAGGCTCTGATGAGGTTTACAATTTGCTTGCCATTTGCTTTTCTACTTTTCCCAACTCACATATATACCCACATTAAAATAGACTGGAGCCTGCTGCTCAATTTCATTTTTACGCTCTCAGATTTTAGCTTTCCTTCGCTTTTCAGTGCTGTTTTTCTTGTATTGCGTTTTTTGATTTTATTTACTCTCTTTTTGGGGCTTATAGTTGGTTCATTGTTGTCCTCTTTCTATTTTTCTCATTCCGTCTCTAACTGTTTTAGGTGGGTGATGATGCTGACATAAATCTGTGATATATTGCCTTTCTGCTGTTGGAGCGATAAATTTTCAGCTCGACTCTTGACGCTTAGTTTTATGCATTAAAATCCTTTCATTTTCCCTCGCTTTCTGCGTTTTAAAGCTGCTACGATTCTAAATCAAATGTCAGGCCTTTCATGTCCCCCTTTTTTTTGAGGGCGTGTCGTCTGATGGTACAAAAGTCATTATGAAACAAGTGTTGGCCGCTTTCCCAGCGGACACTTGAGCATAATTAATGCGATGCCACGCCCACAGCCCGCCGCCAAAACAGGAAATGGCAACCGGAATAGATCCTCCCGCCAAGGGATTTTCAACTCCCATTTTCCCCTCTATTTTTCCCACTCAAATGAGACTCGACAATTGCGTTCCCAAATTAATTTGTATAATTTTACAGTCGCATTTGGATGACGAAGGGAAGTTCAGGGAAGTTTGGGAAACACAAACGGCGGGCGAGGAAACCGAAACTTATTCCCATGGGTTTAGAAACCTCGGAGTATTCAAATGATGTTTGGTAGCACCGAAAAGTAGGCAATTATTTTGTAGGCCAAAAAGAAAATGAGAAAAGGGAGGATGAGGAAGGAAGATAAGACCAGGTAGCAAATCAAGAAACTTGAAAATAAAAGTAAATACATTTTTTAAATTATTATTTTTTAATTAATTAAAAAAGTGTTGTACAAACTAGATAACAAATATTGTTTATGGATATGTTAAATATTTTAGGCACTATGATATTTAAAACAAGAGAGAACGCTATAGTCGGGTGCCCCGAATATCAGATACCCGTTACTCAGGTAAAGGGAGTGCGAGGGAGATGGAGATAGAAACTTTGATCACGCATAACTTTTTAACGAATGGTCCGATTTGAAACATTTCTTCTACATTTCGATATGTATTGATAAACACAATAAAACTGCATTTTTACTTTTCCGAAATATTTAAATTTTTAAAATCGTATATAAGCGATTGTGGGCGTTAAAGGGGGCGTGGCACCATTTTGAAACAAACTTGCGCTGCGTAGGAACTTCTAAAATCTACATGCAAAATGCCAATCTTCTAGCTTTTATAGTTTCCGAGATCTCAGCGTTCATACGGACAGACAGACAGACAGACAGACGGACAGACAGACGGACAGACGGACAGACGGACAGACGGACATGGCTAGATCGACTCCGCTAGTGATCCTGATCAAGAATATATATACTTTATAGGGTCGGAAACGCTTCCTTCTAGCTGTTACATACTTTTGCACGAATACAATATACCCTTTTACTCTACGAGTAACGGGTATAATAACGAATGTTTGTTAAGCCATAGTACAAAAGTGTCGAGGTCTGAACATGAAATTAAAACTATATTAAAGCGGTTTCCGTAAATATATCAGACCATTAATCTCTGCAATTAATTACTGAAGTGTATTCCATTATCAATCGATTTCATCACATTCTCCATCGTCCACTTTCAGCGTGATTAATATTTAATAGGAAATGCCAGGCACTTTTAACTATCTCCTGCTGCACTCGACTTACCCAGCCAACCACCTATCAATTGCAATCAAGATGTAAATGTTGTTACTGGGAAACTCCGGGAGAAAGTTGCAAGTGGCAAAGGGGCAGCGGATAGAGATTCGATGTTGCAACACTTGATTGACTTTCACAGCGCATTTATTTTGAAGCCTTCCGGCTGCCGTTGGCCGCAAAGCCAACTTTTCAACGACTTGGCTTAAGTTTAAACTCCAGCAATAGCTAAAAATAAAGAAATTCGTGGCTTACACACACTTCTGAAACTTTCGCCCGTGCTGAAAGTAAAGTTTCCCACCCAGAAGGCCATAAACTGAGGAGAAGATGGAGCTAAGTTATTTAGTGCAGGTCTAGGCACCTGACTACCTATAGAAAAGGAGTTCAGCTTCCAAAAAAAAATAGGAAAA